GGTGATCCTTTGATCTAAGTCTAAAATCCATATATGAGTGAGTACATACTGTGTTCCTCTTTTGTGACTGGGTTACCTCATTCAGGATGGTTTCTTCAAGTGCCATCCACTTGCCTGTGAATTTCAAGAAACACATCTAAGCTTCAAAGATAGACATTACCTCAGGGTAAAGGGTTGGGAAAAGATTTTCCAATCAAATGGAAATAAGAAGCAAGCAGACGTAGCTATCCTCATATCTAACAAGTTAGACTTCAAACCAAAATTAGTCAAAAGAGATGAAGACAGTCATTTCATATTCATCGCAGGAGAAATCCATCAACACAAAGTCTCAGTTCTGAACATCTATGCCCCTAATACAAAGTCACCCACATTTGTAAAAGAAACACTACTAAAACTCAAAGCTCATATAAAACCTCACACACTTATAGTGGGAGACTTCAATACACCACTCTCAACACTAGACAGAACCACAAATCTAGACAGAACTCAACAAAGAAACAAAAGAACTAACAGAAGTTATATCTCAACTGGGGTTAACAGACATCTATAGAACATTCCATCCAAAGACAAAAGAATATAACTTCTTCTCTGTTCCACATGGAACCTTCTCTAAAATCGACCACATACTAGGTGACATAACAAACCTCAACAGATACAAGAGAATAGGAATGGTCCCCTGTATCTTATGAGACCACCATGCTTTAAAATTGGAATTCAACAACAACACAAATAGCAGAAAACCTGCAAACTCATGGAAACTGAACAATGTGCAATTGCACCACTCCTGGGTCAAAGAAGAAATAAAGAAAGAAATTAAAGACTTTCTAATATTCAACGAGAATGAGGATACAACATACCCGAACTTATGGGACACCTTGAAAGCAGTGCTACAAGGGAAGTTCATTGCACTAAGTGCCCATATGAAGAAAACAGAGGATAGTCACATAAAAGAATTAACAGCCCAACTGAAAACCTTAGAACAGAGAGAAGCAAATTCACCCCGCAGGAGTAGACGCCAGGAAATAATCAACTTGAGGGCTGAAATCAACAAAATAGAAACCAGGAAAACAATACAAAAAATCAATGCAATGAAGAGTTGGTTTTTTGTAGAAAATCAATGATATAGACAAACCTTTATCCAAATTAACGAAAAAGCACAGAGAGAACATGCAAATTAACAAAATCAGAAACGAAAAGGGGAACATAACAACAGACAAAGAGGAAATCCAGACAATTTTCAGGTCATACTTTGAAATCTATATTGCACAAAAATTGAAAATTCAAAGGAAATGGACAAATTTCTGGATAACTATCACTTACCAAAATTAAATCAAGAACAGACAAACAACTTAAATAGACCTATAACCCGCAATGAAATAGAAGCAGTCATCGAAAGCCTTCCAATCAAAAAAGTCCAGGGCCAGATGGATTCAATGCAGAATTCTACCAGACATTCAAGGAAGAACTAATACCACTACTCCTCAAACTGTTCCACAAGATAGAAACAGAAGGTTCATTGCCAAACTCTTTTTATGAGGCCGCAATAACCTTGGTACCCAAGCCTCACAAAGACACAACTAAGACAGAAAACTACAGACCAATATCCCTGATGAACATCGATGCAAAAATACTCAATAAAATACTGGCAAACCGAATTCAAGAATACATCAGAGAAATCATCCACCATGACCAAGTAGGCTTCATCCCTGGAATGCAGGGATGGTTTAACATACAAAAATCTATCAATGTGATCCACCATATAAACAGAAAAAGAAAAACCATATGATGATCTCCCTAGATGCGGAAAAAGCCTTCGACAAAATTCAACACCCTTTCATGATAAAGGTCTTGGAGAGGTCAGGGATAACAGGAACATAACTAAACATAATAAGAGCAATATACAGCAAACCAACTGCCAACATCAAACTAAATGGGGAGAAAGTTAAGCCAATTCCTCTAAAATTAGTTTTGAATGTGAGTAATGATTGCAGTCATTGTGTTGTTGACTTTCAGTGGAGTTGTGTTGTCAGTGCTCTTTTGTGTTTAAGTAATTAGAGATTTGTTGTCTTTCTACAATCTCTTGGTTATGATCACTTCCATATTCAGCTTGCAATATTGCTTTCCATGTTTCACTTAGGATTGATCTTGTATATAGCATTTTAGACTGTATATATAAAGGAAAATTTATCTCTTACATCAATTATGGCAGGTAGTTTACTGAGTACATTAGTATAGGTTGCCAGGACTTGTAATGGATTGCTCTAGCTCATTCTGATTCCATGATATATCAGCTGTCTTCCTTTATATGTGAAATGTGCTTTTGCTATCAATACTTCCATGTTTTGTACACTAAGAAAAGAATATGGTTTTCTTTTCTGGTGTTGTCTAGTGAGTTTCTTTGTGGTTCTTGTTATGAGTGTATTTGTCTTTCCTCTTTGGGATTTTGTTTATCTATGATCATGTTGAACGTGTGTCTATGCCTTTGACCTGAGATGCTTCTTGCTCATCTCTTCCTATAACTTGAAGATTTGGTCTTTTCATGGTGTCCAATACTTCCTATCTGTTCCTTCCCTTTTTCTCTTTGCCTGTTACATCTAGATCCTCCACTTCAACACCAAGACTCATTATTCCATCCTCTGATTGACTGAGATATTCTATTGGTAAGATTGTTTTCTAGTTGGGTGGGTTATTAGGAGTTTTGATTACATATTCATTTCAGTTTGAGTTTTCTTCACTATTTCTCTTTATTAAATTCTGTTTTGAGTCTTAACACTCTTTTTTTCATTTCCGTCAGTATTACGTTTGTATTTTCTTTGGTTAACTCAGGTGAAATTCTGTTATATTTCATTATTTCTTTCTTTTCATCTCTATTAAACTCTTTCAATTATTTGAAGAAGCTTATAGATTTCTGTTCAAGTTATGTGTCCTAGGCTTCATCTCTTTAATTCTCATTGGTAACAATTTCCATAGAACTGATGTACATTAAAAGGAATTGGACATGGAGACTTCTATCATAATGACAGAGTCTGATATGGACAGAACAGGTTGATCAGAACACGGGATGTGTGGATTACGTAGGATAAAACTTAGATAGCACCAGATGAAGTAGACTCAGGGAGCTGGAACTGGGATTGGTATGTAAAAACAAGTAAATAGAAGTAATAAAATGTGTAAAAAACAAAACAAAACAAAAAACTTCACCCAAAGATACTCAGGCAAGCATGCCTGTACACACACACACACACACACACACACACACACACACACACACACTGATGGTATTGAGAGGAGGAGAACTTAGAGACTGGTTAGGCCATAAGGGCTCCTCCTGAGGTTGGGCTTGCTGTACTTTTAAAGGGGCAGTGGGATACAAGTTCAATCCTTACTCCCTTCTACTATGTAGCTATATGCGGTAGCATCTAAAAAATAAGCCCTGAGCAAACACAGACTTTGATCTTGGGGTTTCTTGCCTCTAAAGCTGTGAGATATAAATAAATCTCTGTTGTTTGTACCCTCATTCTCCTGCATTTACTAGAGTTCCCAAAGGAGGCTGAACCATGCTTTCAAATGAACCCGTCTCCTTGCTTATAGAATTGGCAGCAACATGTGAATTTCTATTATTCACAAGAATAAAGCATTTTCACCATAAAGAAACCAATAGGAAAATGGACCACAGACACACATGGAAGGGTGGTCATGAGGTGTGTGTGTGTGTGTGTGTGTGTGTGTGTGTGTGTGTATGGGTAGATGGGTGATAGAAAGATACTTGTTCAGCACCAATCATTTCAGAGAGAGAGAGAGAGAGAGAGAGAGAGAGAGAGAGAGAGATTAAAACTTACACCAGGATCCTGTGTGAATTGATAAGATAGAATACAAAGGATGGATAGGGATGCTCTTTACTTTAAAAACAATAGAGCATGGCCTCACATATTCATATATTATAACATGAGGACAAAGTTATCAAATGATAGATGCAGCAATTGAGGAATACTGGTCTACACTAAGGATGCACCTAACCCTTTGTCTTTCTACCTCATTGCTAGAATCCTGCCTTTGTGGAGACTGTCACACACTAATGTGACATTCTAGGTAACTCAATACTGCATATAAGATGTGAAATCCTGCCCCAAGTGTTACTGTTATATAAAGGACATGCTGTATTAAATTTCGGCTACAGGAGATATGCAACTGTGACAACCATGAGAAATATTGTCACAGGATTGTTGAGAAAAAAGCAAGGTAGAGAGGAAGCAAAAGAAACTGCAAGGAATTTGGCTGGGGGACAAATTTGGCTATGGGACAGCAACATGACAAATCCGCAGATACTTACTTCCTGAGCCAGGTGGAAGGTGCTGTGTTGCTCGTGTAGTGTATGTGGGCTTATTCATTCATGGAAATAATCTGAACACAGACTCTGGCGCCACGTCTGCCCAAGTGGCATAGGAAGGAAGGTCAGCTCTCTGGTGTCCGGCTCCCAAGAGAGATGGGTCCTATCGAGTGAAGAATAATTGCAGTGGGGTCAGGCAGAGGGCGCTGTTTGTGGGGGTGTGAAGCCGACCCTGAGTCGCCCCCTCTGGAGGACCTCAGTGAGACTGTGACTTGTGGAGTTGGAATGTTCCAGAAGGAGCGCCAGTGGCAGCCTGTAGGGGGCAGTGTGAGGAAAGGGAGCCCAAAGCAGCTGATTCGCTGACCTCGCCCTCAGATGCCAGGACTCATGGACCCCCTGAGGCAAGGACGGCTGAGGAAGTGAGTGTGGCTGGGGGTTATGGCAAATTAACCGCTCATTCCTCAGGTCAGTAAGTGGCTCAGAGCATAGACTATGTGGGGCAAAAATTGTGAGGAAGGTTCTGAGGTGTGAGTACGAGTACATGGGGGGCCTGCAGAACAAGGAGTGAGGGTGGCGGGGTGGGGGTGGGGTGGGGATGGGGTGGGGCCCGGGAACCGGGAGTGGGTCGGGACCAGGAGGGGACGAGAGGGTTCTGTGCCAGGCAGACCTGGGACATCAGTGAGCAGAGCTAGCCACTCCTCTCCTCCACAGGTCCAGGCACCCTCTGGAGATGGTGGTCCTGCTAGCCTTGCTCACAGCCCTGGGCTTCCCATTGGCACAGACCAAGGTCAGGACCAGGCAAGCAGGTAAGTGCTGCATTCCTGTGCCCCTAAAAGGAGCAAGATGCTAAAAGTTACTGATTCCAGAAAGAGTCCATTGTGGTAGGTATACTAAAGTTCAGGAATGTGAGACCCGAGATCATCAAGGATAAAGGATGGTTGGGGGTCGGGAGGTAAGCGCACAGACAGGAATGCAGATACCAGGGGTAGAAGAGTGGGGGTATAATGGTGAGGGAGTGGGGGATGTGCTTCTGATTTGGAGCTCCCCCTTAGGCCAGCTTGGGTTACTCATTCTACAGGGACCCTGGCCTGTCTCTCCAGTCACTCTTCTTTCTTGAAAGGAAGTCCTAGAAAAAAGCCAAGGCCACCCTGACCTCTGAGATTCACCCTGTCTGAGGATGGGGTATTTGTGGGAGAGGGGTCTGCCATTATCTTCCCCAACTGGAGCTGTCCTAATCCTGAGCCAAGAGACTTTATATTGCCCATCTAGGATAGGACATGGAAACAAGGAAGTGTGGACCAGGGCAAAGAGTGGCTGTGGAACCCTGGTGTTCAAAGAAAAGGGATGAGGGAGGTGTGGAAATGGATGTCCTTCTGAATTTCTGAAGACTACAGTGTCTGATTAGAATGTGGGTTCATGCAGTGTGCCCAGATGTGAAGGACCAAATGAAATCCCCAGCAGACAGGTGAGGGAGCCTCCAGACAGATACTGAGAACTTAATGTCATGCACAGACTGTGGGCACGGGAGAGTTGGGGACTCCCTGCACTTGGCAGACACTTGGATGACAGGTTTGGTACTGCAGGAGGAACAACAGTCCCATTTTCTCTCTTTTATAATCCCTCACTTCAGAGCCTATCTCCTGTCACGTCTGTGAGATAGAGAACAGCTTTAACTGCACAAATCCACAGGTGTGTCCTCCTGAGAAACAGTTCTGTGTGATGGCTGCCATTCGTAAGTGTTGCTTCCTTCTGGGTCCTTCCTAGGGTGCTGTGGGCACGACAACAAATGCTGTCAGGAAGAGGAGCTGTCAATCTAAAGGGACCATTAGAAACAAAACCAAACAACAGTAACAACAATAACAAAAACACAAATCCAAACCAAACAACAAAAACACTCAAGAGGAAAAGCCAGGGGGACGCAGGTGCTGGCCTCAGTGCTGGGAAGCACAAGCCAGGCAGGAAAGCATGCAATGAGATTTCTCTGTATTTTTATTTTTAAATATGAAACTCTGATGATGGCAAATGCCTTACTGAGACTAACTTCTAGGTAGGTTTCATAAGGGACAGCTTAATGTTTATCCTTGGAGAAGTGGCCTTTGCTTTGGTGTTTGCAGACTGACTCGGTCCCCCATGATTAACTACAGAAATTCTGGATACAAGAAGGGCTTCCCAAAATGGATCCACAGGACCCAAACCATCTTACCTACAGTGAGGGTTTTCAGCACTCCGGCATTCAAATTCAGTCCCACCAGCACAACCGCACACACATCCCTGTGTTCTGGGAAGTTAGTAGGATGGTGGGGCAGCAGACAGGACTTGGCTTAGCTAACAGGAACATATTCCTTAATATGAAAAAGGAAAAAAATCTATCTTGTGCAATGCACGATGATGTTCAAAGGCTAGCCTCTCGGCTGGATCTAAGTCAGGATGACCAGAGTTCCTGCTATGCCTGTCCGTTTCAGGTGCTTCAGTCAGTTCTGTGCTTTAATAGTTGAGGATCGAGCATCCTGTGTTTCCAAATAGACACACATTCCCCCTATCGTGTGGAGGACCACACAGTTCCCCCCTAGGGCAGTGCGGCCTTCTCCCCCCTGAGTAGTAGTTCCTACCCGCAGACCAATGCTCTCATTTAGCAAGAATATCTAACAGGGTCTCAGATAATCCAGAGAGGCTCTGCTATCAGGTCCTTGAACTCTTTCCTTCCTCTCCTATAGGATTATTTGAACGTTTCTACCGTTCTTCAAAACAGTGCACCAGAGTCTGTCCGGTCCCTGCAGTTTTTGAACAGAAACAGCCTGTTGATGTACCTCCTGAGCCTAAGCCCTTTGTGGTCCAAAAACCCTTGCCCTTCATATACGCAAGGTGCTGCAAATGGAACTTGTGTAATGAGGGTGGGCCGAACATCCCGAGGTTCAAAGAGCTTCCTGGAAAAGCCAGCGAGAGAAGACACAGATATACTGAGCTGTTCCTCACTGGCTTCATGGTCCTTACTGCTCCTGTTCTCACAGACCTCAGCCTGCTTTAATCTGCAGACAGACCTGGAGCATGCCTTGAATTCCCGGCACCCTGCAGGACCCTTCTAATAAATTTGTTTTCCTTGTTAACCTCTTGTGTTGACTCCTGTGGTCTCTGGATGGGCTGTCGGCCCACATGCTCTTCGGCTTCCATAAGAACCATGGCAGGTCTTGCCACGGTTTGGCTGGCCAGTGCCTCTGAAATTAAGCCTTGCCCCTCCATTCCCTGTTCCAGTGACTGCTTGCCTCTGAGCTGGTGGACAGGGAGTTCATTCTCCTTCACAGACACAACAAACAGAGACCCTGGGTTGCAGGGCAAGATGAAGTAACTGGCCATACGTAAACATCCTGAAGGAAAAACTCCTCTTGACCATCTAGCCCCATATCTGACACATGTGCTTCCATTTGTACATGTCCACTGTGGATTTTTCTGGCATCAGAAGCTTGGGCCAGATAGATGGCAGCTGGTATATGTCCTCCATGTTTCTAGGAACTGCAGCCATCCATATGAGCTGACCTCTACCAAATAAGGTGCCCAACCAGCAGGGCAGCAAAGAGCCCAACGACATCAACTAAAGGGGAAAGGGTTTGTTTGGCTTACAATTCCAAGTGACAGCCTATACAAATTGAGGGGACATCAAAGTCAGGAAGTTCAAATGGCAACCAACATCATATCTACAATCAAAACCAGAATCATGTACCAAAGTGTAAAGAGTAAGGTTTTTCTACCTGCAGCCTGGTCTTGTCCCCCCCCCCCCCACCCCGCCGGGCTTGGTCCTGCCGCTGCCAGCCCCAATTAACACAAGGAGACTCTGTATTAGATATAATTCTGTTGGCCAGGTAATAGTTTCTTTATCGGCTAGCTCTGTCTTAATTATTAACCCATTCCTATGTATTTCTACCTGGTCTTACCAGAGAGAGGCAGCTGGCAATTCTGCCTTCTCCAGACTCTCCATCTTGACTCTTCCTTACTCCTTCCTCGAATCCTCCTTGTCTCCTAGACCTGCCTATCTAGCTTTCCTATTGGCCAACAGTGCTTTATTCATTAAACAGTATGCGAAACATACTCCCATCATCTCCTCTTTTCTGTCTAAAATAAAAGGAAAGGTATTGCGGTAAATAAGGATCAGGATAAACAAATAGGCCGAATAGATGTTTATTCAGGGAGAAATAACTTACAACCTAGACAGATGAACACCAGGAAATTCAACCCGATCCTCTCCTGTCCGAGTCACGCCAGAAAGAGAGAGCGCCTTCCTGGCCCCCTCCGACCTCCTTCCTCAGGTCACCTCCGCCCATCGCTCCACCCCCCCAATGGGCGTGGTCAGTGCTACAGAAGGACTACCTCACTACAATTCCCCTTTTAGTCTAAAGAAAAGATTTAGGCTTAATACAAAACTATATACAAAACAGTGAATAACAAGTGTGCTCTAAGAAAAGGAAAATCGAGAACAAAATGACCTACATATCTAGTCCTAGGGTGAGGGCATAATGGAGTTTACAATAGAGTTGTCCTAAGCTGGAAAACATAAGTCTAGTACCTAATATATCTAACTAGGAAGAGAGAATAATAGTTGTGATAGTTTAATCTTCAACCTCATCAAGACCTGAGAAGGAAAATAACAATACTAGAGTAGACAGGAAATGCGGATGGACAACTTCCAAAAGGTGCAGCAAGGACAGAAACAGCAAGCCACCTGAACAGTCACCCTAGGTCTCACAGCGACGTTGGTACACCCAGATTTGGCTAAGGCCAAGAGAACTTGACAGACCACAACAACAGCAGGGAAATAGAATGGCTGTCTTACCCTGACTTGGCAAGGTCAAGCAGTCTTCTATATTTGTCTCCTGCAAGCACATAGGACTGCATGTCCAAATCAGTGGTCAAGGTGGGGGCAATTCTAAGCCCAACAGGCCATTAGCTGAGGCGAGATTGAACTCCAGCAGGAGCAACAACAGTATCCAACATATTTTCGGGAAAGTGCACGGTGCTGTCAGGAGCAACAGTGTCTCATGTCAATGGAGTACTAATATTAAAACATTTAAATGCCATGTTCTGCATGTCTATGAAGTGATTGAAGATTAAGCATCTATATCTGACTAATCTCATAGGTACAGGAAATGTGAGTGAAGATAATCTGTAATACTCGGGAACTTAGCTAAAAAGACTGATTAAAACTTTCCTGAGTAAAGCAGGAACAAATACTTAAACAATATAACTATTTACATATACCTACATGTAAATCCCTAAAATAGAGGTAGAGTATAAGTGTCAAGACAAGAGGTAGAACTATAAAGGGCAGCAAGATAAATATCCCAAATTGTATCAATATACAAAATGTCTTGAATACAGGAAAGGTATACATACATAGAATATGGTAAAAAATAATGTGCATAAAATATTATAAGTGGAAACATTTAACACAATATAACAAAATATAAACTTAATTTTACATAGCTTACCACATAAGAATACACAACAATGTAAGCTGTAAAATACTATCTCATTCTTACTCAAATTCTCAAGAAAATAGGCTAATCTACCTATATCCCATCTAAACCATACCTTTACCAACCATTCCCTATTCCTGTCTAAAAGATAAACCCGAGTGTAAGCATCACCCAATCCCAAATAACTAAAACCAACCCAAAGACGATGACTATTATCCCAAAATTCCAAGGGTAGGGAAAGGGGGCGTAGTCATATTAAGATTACTTCCTGCTGAAATGGGACGATGATTGCTCCAATGGATCCTGTAGGAAGAAAATTTTTAGCAACCAAATTTCTCAACAGAACTGGCTGTGACATATGTAGTTAGTCACTGTGTGGCAGAAAATTCTTGACTGTAGTTCTATTTGAAACTGGCCAGGGTGTAATAAAAAGGTGCACCATTACAGCTAGCTAGTCATGAGTTGTCTCGAGCAAAACAGTCTCAAACCGGTTTTAGGGTGATATTTGTAGTTCAGATGCATCAGGTTGAGTCAAGTGGAAACGATGATGTGGGGCCCCATCTTCTTTCCAGAGAGTTCAAAGACTGCTGTTAGGAATCGTTATTATTCCTTCTGGAAAAGTCACACATCAATATTAAAGTAAAATTTTCAAGTTTTACGGTATGCATTAGGAAAAGACAACAATAAGCATTAAAAGTATGTGAGAAAATTAGGATTTCAGAGAGAAAATTGCATAAGATATGAGTCCCCAGATTTTGTTTTCTTCTGCCTTACACCAATTGGCTTCTTGATTTAAGGCAGAAACCATGAATTTAATCTTAACAACATGCTTGAATTTAGAGAAGGAAAGCCAAATCCAACACCAAAGCCAGCATTGGTTTACAAAATTTGGGACTTCAGGAATACTAGATAGTAGAGAGAAATAGATTTCTATATAGAAATAGTTTACTACAATTAAATATTTTTTTTTACCATATATCAGATTCTGCTTCCTTAAGTGATTGTTTCTGAAGAGCTGTCTTCTCTTCTGTAGGCACCTACATGTTCATTGTCTTTTGGCTGTTTGATGATAGGTTTTCTCTGTTTTCCTGTAAAAACAAGAACAGAACACTTCCCCTACCTTTGAGAGGCCTCCGCACACCTCATAGGACCTAGTTTGTTGGATGACTTGTCATTTCTCTTCATTAAGATGTTTCTCTTGTTCAACTCGGATCTTGATTAACTTAGATGGTATCCATAGTTTTTCTTCTCCTGTAGATACAAATGCAAAACCCCTACCCCAACGTAACACATATCCTGCTTTCCATTCTGAGGTCAGTACATCCTTGAAGTACACTGGCTGATTTAGTTCAGAAGTTTTTTCTATTGTCCAGTGTCTTTCTGCAGCTGTTTTTCCTTTTTCATCAGCATTAAGAAAGTTTAATGTTAATAAAGCATTATGTAATCTGTGTTTGGGTGTTTTGGTTCCTCCTGCCTGTTTATGGAGCATTTCTTTTAAAGTACGATTGGATCTCTCAACCACTGCTTGTCCTGTAGGATTGTGTGGTATACCAGTTATGGGCTTTATCTTGTAATACTCAAAAAACTCTTTCAATTTGCTGGAGACATATGCTGGAGCATTGTCAGTTTTTATTTGTGCAGGTATGCCCATAATGGCCATTACCTCTAAAAGGTGCGTTATAACAAAATCAGCCTTTTCAGAGCTCAGAGCAGTAGCCCACTGAAACCCTGAAAATGTATCTATAGTGTGATGTACATATTTTAATTTTCCAAATTCTGCAAAATGAAACACATCCATTTGCCATATTTCATTCCTATTTATACATTTAGGGTTACTGCCTGGTGGTAAAGGAGTTTGGTTATAGAATGAGCAAGTAGGACATTTCCTTACTATTTCCTTGGCTTGTTCCCAAGTGATAGAAAAATCCTTTTTTAAACCTTTACTGTTCACGTGGTGTTTCTTATGAAACTCTGAGGCTTCTAGCACACTTCCTATCAATAAACGATCAATTTCATCATTGCCTTGTGCTAGAGGACCTGGCAGACCCGTATGGGATCTGATGTGTGTTATATATATAGGATGAGTCCTCTTTCTGATAGTATCTTGTAACTGTATAAACAATGAAGTTAATTCTGTATTGTCAGGAATAAATTCTGCAGTCTCAATGTGTAAAACGACTCTCTCTGCGTATTGAGAGTCAGTAACTATATTGAGGGGTTCTTTAAAATCCATAAGTACCATGAGAATGGCATACAATTCTGCCTTTTGTACAGAATTGTAAGGGCTTTGAACCACTTTGCTAATTTTTCCTGATTTATATCCTGCCTTACCTGATTTATTTGCATCAGCGTAGAATGTATGAACTCCAGAAATAGGTGTTTTTCTTACAATGCGTGGAAGAATCCAAATCGTTTTCTTTATGAATTTGATTCTCTCACTTTTGGGATAGTTGTTGCTAATTGTTCCCAAAAAGTTACTGCAAGCTCTCTGCCAATATTCATTATCTTTCCATAAGGAAGAAATTTCCTCATTAGTTAAAGGTACTATAATTTCTGCTGGGTCCCTTCCTATTAGCTGACGAAGTCTTAATTTACCTTTTATAATCAAGTCTGAGATCTTTTCTATATATGT